CCCCCCGAGCCACATTGCGCCCTATGGATCATTACTGTCTTCAAGCGATTCGATCACAAACCGAGCATACGCCGGACCTGCTGACCTTGTGCTATCGAGGGTAATAAACGATGAGATTTCCAAGCGAATGATAAATTCCTTACAGTGAGATTTCTATCCAAAAGGAAGTTGCAATCAAAATCGTCGTCGTCTTCGCCGAACGGATTCAACAGCTCCATAGCGACCTTCATCCATCCTACATAACAGATGAACTCAATAGAAGTCATAATTGGAAAGTAGAGATCAACCTGAAAAGGTCCAGTAGGATTTCGGGAATAACGATAAGAACATAATCTCACAAGCTTTACATACAACAGTATAATTGGCTGCAGTCGGAGTGATGATGAACTGTCTGCAGAAGATGCAGACGATGAAATAGCAGTGCACGGCTAGGAAGATCAACTGTGGATACATTACAGGCAGTGGCACCCAGTCGTACGTCCAGATCAGAGACAGCCCAGTGCGGAAACTACGAATTTCCTGAAATGGTCACATTATCGCCTGGGAAAGGACTAATGTGGTTCCGCTTCACCTGGGCGATCGCATTTCTAGCAATGTCTCCATCGAGACGCTTCTCATCGAGGGCTGTATTCAACAGATGCAGAGCCCAGTTGAACGGCAACCAGTATTTAGCGTAACGACTCTTGCACTCCTTGAACTTCTCGAGCTCATGCTTTTGGAAAAAGCCTAGAACGTAATGATTCACGTCGTTTGAGTGGAAAGACTTTGATTTGATTTGATGAGAATGTTATGCTACACTGTTGTTAACCGATTTTCATTCTGAATCAGATCTTGAGACTCCCCCTGAGCATGCTTGAGTTTCGAGTTTTAGCCCCGCCCACTCAGTGCGTAGTCTACCTCACCTATGCTCGCTCGAAAATGGACATGCACTTTGAGAGTAGACTTAAATTCCATTTTTCTGTCTTCCACGATGAGTCCGACTTTCTTCTATTTGGAATGATTGGGTGGAAATTTGTTAAATATTTTGGTGTGATTTTAAAAGTCTAGCTTGCCACTGGGTTTTTTCGATTTGTATCTGTTTTTGGACGGCAGCCTCTCCCACCCCTCCTTCCCCCCCCACCCGTCACACCCAAAATTTCTTTCCTCTCATTCAAATTGTTATTTTCAGCAATATGAAATACTTCTTAGAAGGAGGTTCGCTAGGTCTCATTACGGTTCAGCTCGTTCGTAAAATACGGTGAGCGCAAATACAAATCATATTTGAAGTAGTTGTTCCAACGCCTCTATTAAGTATCCAAAGCACGCAAATTACCGCAGCTACCTTGTGTTAGAGTTGAAAACTGTATCCTGATCCAGAAATGAATATCGGAAACGAGGCATTGCGAAGCGACGCAGTACCTGAATGCAACTTTTGCGTCACATATTGCTGAAAGTTGTTGATAAGACATCGTAAACTCACCGCACGATGTTCCGCCGTATATTTTTGCCGCGATCATCGTTTCCTTTGACAAGTTCCGAGGTAAACAGGGCGATACTGAAACCCCAATGGTATTTAAAGGCGGATGGCACGGGAAATTTGTCGACGAAAATGAGAGATAAAGGTGTAAAAGATGCAGTGGTAGAAAAAAAAACAACAAGAAAACGGTCCAAACTGCACAAACCTAAACTTCACAAAATTCACCAGCGGAAAATACAATGCAATAGCTTAAGCTTGTGGCATTCAGGAGTGAAGTGGTATTGCTTGTTAATACACATCTAATGAGGAAAGATGTCAGGGACCTGTAAAAGGGGGCCCAATGTTGAAATATTGGCTTCATTCAGCACTTTAACGATAGTAGATGTGCTCCGTTGTGAAGGACCTCTGAGCAGTCATGGGAGCGCTTTCGAGTTGCAACAACGGCACAACGATGAAACTTCAGGTGGGGCACTCCTGTGCTCTCCGACGCTAATATAAGGATAACAGCTTTCATGAGACGTAGTCGATCTATTTGAAATTACTTCCGATAAGGTTCGGTGTAGGGTGAGTTTACTGAGTGAGTTCTTCGTTGGGCTGTGGTCAATGAAATGGTCCAGAGTATAGGCATGGAATACCCTGGACACAGTATAGAAGCCAGGACAGTGAACATCGCCGTGCCATAAATTGCCTAGAGATGGGAGCGATTGCACTCAGTGATAGGGCATACCACGCGTCCTTATCGAAATGCACATTGAATAGCGTTATACCTATTATCTTATACATAGGGTTTAGTCAACGCTGTGCTATTATTAACAGATAGGTAACAAAGGGTTCCCTCCGCACATAAATATTCCCGGCACATCTGTCCTAACTTCGTGGCTATTCTATCCTAACACAAAATAGATTTTTCTGCACGACCCCTAACAGGGTTTTTGCTTTAATTACGAGATGGGTACCGAAGTGCGGATGGACCAGGGGTGCAAAGGGCACCCTAGCTTTGTTTCTCAGATTCGACGAGCTATGTTAGGAGAGTTTTTTGCGTTTCGCATAAGCCTTTACGCTCCACCGTAGAGGCCGTGATGTTAAAGCAACAGTTCAGGGAGGGTCCGAAAATTTCAATGCCACTACTACTGAGGGATACACGAGCCCTAGTGAAGAACATATGCAGTGGAAATAATAAACGAACTTACCTCAGAAACTCAAAAACAGGGTGGAAAGTCCCTCAAACATGGGTGTTCTTGGGGATTTCCCCAATCCCGCCCCCTTGCCGGCCGTCATTGGACGCGTCGGCAATCGTGCTCGTTTTGGGACCACAGGGAAAATTGATTGAAAAATGGAGCGCGTTTACAGCGGGCACGTTCAGACAACTCGTCCAACGTGCGTCTTTATCCATTGCTGAGCGGCAGAGGGAGAGTACCTGTCTAAGACCCTCCCCGACGTTTTTTTTCCAGTTTTTCATACATTAATCCAATCCGTCAGTAGCGTCTTTATACAACTTCATTATCGTGGTTTCGCATAGGCCTATACGCTCACGCAGGGGCCCTTGGTGTTAGGAGGTGAGCTTTTGACCAGTCAGGGGTTGCAGGTGTAAATTTCTCACGTACTTGTCAATCATGCCAAGATTGGCAAATTGTGTCACCCAGCGATTCACGACGACCGTCACAAAGAATCCCAACATGAAGTTCATTGGAATATATTGGAGCCGTTTATCACAATAGGCAGCGAAATTCTCGAAATGCCTAAAAAATTGAACAATTTTCAGGTTTTCAGAGAGAACTATTATTTAGGGCCTGTTCAAGTGCCATTGGCATAGCTCATGTCCTTCGATGTTACCTCAGAAGCTATACAGTCCAAGGTCAACCCTGTAGTAAAATGAGTTGGGTCAAATTTGTAATTTACAGTTAGAAGAGGGCGTTGCTGATGAGGTTGCATCGTAGAGTTGGAAGACGATGGAATAGAATTTTTTTTAGGACGGTGAGTAAATTTTTGCGACCGTCGCTCATTCAACGAGCTTTAGAGTAGTGACAGGTAGAGCAAGGTTAGGCCGATGTCAGACTTTGCGAATCGCGCGATTCGCTAGCGTCTGCGGTCGCGTCGCGGCCAGTGAATCACTCAATTGGCTGGTACCGCAACGCGACCGCGGACGCTAGCGAATCGCGCGAATCGCTAGTAGCGAATCG